AAAGAAACAGGTCTATTATTTTCCACACGGCATGCATCTCCTTTTTTATGAATTGGTACCACGATACTGTGCCTCCAAGCATCAGGTTAAATAAAATCAAACTTTTTCTCTTGCCCTGAGTTGGCATATTTATTCTATAACGCACATAACAACATAATCAATAGTAATTTGATCAAAGTAAAAATAAACAAAAATGTATAGTAAAAAAATTTATAATTATACTCATCAAACAATTAACAGGCAAGTAACCTTTTTATTTAAATACAGGTTTTAATACGACTGGTGGATTAGTTGGATTGTCAGCACCTGAATCAGCATCTAGATGAGTTTTAATAACTGGATTAATAAGAAATCTATAATTATACTTTTTAGACAATGAGTCAATTGAAATTGTACATATTCTGGCAACCAATTCTGTTCAGAATCCTGAAAAATATAATCACAAATCACTGCAGTAGAGTTTTATCTAAAAAAAAGCTCTTTGTACTTCTAATTTAATTTTTCAAACAGATGGGTCTTGAGATCTGCTGTGAAATTTGTAACTGATGGAGAATTAGTTAGGGAAGAAGATAGAGACTCACAGAAAAAAAAGACCATAAAAATAAATCAAGATTTAGCATAAGAGTGTTTAACACAAGTTAAGAAGAAGTGAAAACGAGAAAAGGATCGTTAACTGGGGCGTTATCAATCAAAAAAAAGACCATACAAATAAATGAAGATTTAGCATAAGTGTGTTTAACACAAGTTAAGAAGAAGTGAAAACGAGAAAAGGATCGTTAACTGGGGCGTTATCAATCAATCAATCTTCGTTTTGCGTCCAGAGACCCGGTTTCAACAACTGTTGGATTATTTATAGATTTTATGAAAGCCTTTGATTCAATAGACCATGGTATTTTACTTAAAAAGCTGTTTAAGATTGGAATTCGTGGTGCTATTTTTGACTAGTTTGCTCCTATCCGGATTGTTTCTGATTTTGGTTTTGTTAAGACGGTCAGAGAACGCAGATCAAAAGTCATTTTTCATTCCTTCTGATACGCCGGTCTGTAGTACGTCAATCAAATCAATCAATCTTCGTTTAGCGTCCAAAGACCCAGTTTCCCGAGGTAGGACGTTGTTTTCTTTGCCATCAACTTTTTGCGCACAATTAGATGATCAGTTGTATCCATTTCATTTAAATTTAGAGCTTTCATGTCTTGCTCGATTGTTTACGACCAGGACTTCCTTGGACGGCCTTTGGGACGTGTGCCAGGTAATTGAACATCTGCAAGAGAAGTTATGGCACTGTTTCCACTTCGTTTGACATGACCAAACCACAGCAGACGGTGTTGCCGGCATTCGTCCTTTATATCATCTAAACAAGCACGACGCAGGATTTCGGTAGATTTGATGTGTTCCTTCAGACTAATTCGTTGCATCCATCGGAGCATTTTCATGTCGGTTCGTTGTTGTTCCAGTTTCGTTGTCATTGTTTCTGCACCATATAACAACACCGGACGTATCACAGATTTATAAAGTCTTGATCGTAGTGGTAGTGGGATGTCACGCCGCATCAATATAGAGGCAAGGAGATGCCATTTATTCCAGGCTGCACGTATGCGTGCTCGAACGGCAGCTTCAGCTGTTCCAGTACAACCTAGAACATCTAGATATTGAAACGATGTGACGTTCTCTACCTTAATGGCTTAAAAAACATTGCTATTTCGAATTTGATGTTGTGGATTGATGCTAACAGGACAAACAAAATTGGACACTTTAGATAAAGTACCAAAAGATGGTTCTTGAACAAGATGAGATCAAGCTACACTGGAGAGAATACATTAACCGTCTGTTTAATGAAACAATTCCCATCAATGTCAACTTTGACGCTCCACCCATCGAAGGTCCGATTCCAGACATCACTGTAGAAGAGCTTACAGAAGCTCAGAAAGCTATGAAAAATGGAAAGGCAGCAGGGCCCTCTGGACTCACAAATGACATTATCAAACCATCTGGTAATGCAAGTATCCAAACTTTACTACAACTTTGCCGTAAAGTGTGGAGAAATTGCTCAATGCCGACTGAATGGAACTATAGCATGACAAGGCAAAGGTGGTTCATTGAATTGTTCATTATATCGGGATACATCTGTTAGAGCACTCCTAGAAAGTTGTCGAGAAAATTATTGAGAGAAGATTAACATCGTGCATCACAATCGGAAATTATCAATTTGGTTTCCTAGCTAGGAAATCAACAATTGATGCAATTCACATCTTTCGGCAACTGCAAGAGAAGTACCTCACAAAGCATCAACAACTATCACACATTTTTGTAGACCTTGAAAAAGCATTTGATCGAGTTCCCCGTGAAGTAATCAGTGGAGTCTTCCGTCGACAACTCATTCCAGAATATCTTGTTGAAATTACTTATGTATACGAATACTAAAACTCTCGTAACACAACGCTTTGAAACACAGATGCATTTGACATCGGCGTTGGAGTTCACCAAGGCTCGATTTTCAGTCCACTGTTATTTATAACTGTGATGGAAGAAATCACAAAACCGATATGCACTGGTGACATTTGGAATCTAGTATATGCTGATGATATCGTTTTAACAGCCACGTCTGAGCAGAGTGCAGCACAGATGTTTGAAGATTGGAACTCCAGACTCGCCGATCATGGATTCAAAATTAACATCAGCAAAACCAAAGCAATGAGCACTGGTGAACCCATCCAATCCACAGCTACTGGACGATGGCCCTGTTCATTTTGTAAAGCTGGTGTAGGTAACAATTCAATCAAGTGTCAACAGTTTAACACAGAAAAAATAGTCATTGTTTGCTTTTCTAGGCGAATCTATAAACCATTTTCTATGTTAAATATTTCTAAATCTTTTTTTTCTGAGGGTGTATCGTTATGGAATAATCTGTCTTCAGATTGTATGTTAATAAACAATATCAAACTTTTTATGAAGTATATCAGGTGTATGTTTTTATGTTAATTTTAGCTACTTACTTTTGACGATTATTTACACTTAATTTATATTAATATTATTTAAACTAATGTTTTGGTATATTAATTTATATAATTTGGTGGACTATGAAGTTTTTACTTGCTTAGTCTCCAAACCAAAATAACGTTTATTTCTTGGTGACTTTTTTGATTTTATTGATTGATTGATATATTATTTTCAGTAATAATTGTAAATATTCTTTAAAAAACATTGAATCATTTATTTTTACTGATTTTCCACATTTTGAATTGAAAAGCGATAAAATAATTGTAACTAATTCGAAAAATTTTATTAAAAAAAGCATGAAAAAAGCTTGACGATGCAAATGAAGGCAAGACAATGAATAAATATCATTATGGAATAATAAAAATAACCATAATTTATGCTTCCTTGTTTAATTAATTGACTTAAATGAATAGACTTATAGAAAATTTATAACTGCCTTCGATGGTTGGGAGGCTGAAGGATGAAGCTGTCAACATCTAATTATGATGGTCTTACATTCGAAGCTGTTAGTCAAAACACGGCAAAAGCCATCATAATACTAAAATTTTGGGCATCGTAGCAAAGAGTGTGTATGATAATATTTTCCGAAACATGCTTTTGTTTCCTGCTTTTCATATAATGCGAAAATGAGAAATATAAAGTTGTTTTGTTTTTTAAAGAAAAAAAAGCTGTCAATTTTGTTTTTTGATATGTTGTTAAGCTATGAAAGCACTATATAAAAAATTAAAATGTTTGGATCTTCGTGGTTCAAAAATAAATTTTGATTTTATTCAAACTTTGACGTCCGATAGCTTGAAAAATTTAATAGATTCTAACAAAATTTAGTGATTTATTAACGACTATAAGATACTTTTATAATATTAAAAAAACATTTATTTTGTGATAGATTATTTTGTGTTGAGCAACACTGCTTTGAAATCGGTGAAATTTAAAAAAAAAATCAACTTTTTCAAACATTTTTTGGATTCGAGACAATAATTTTTATTTGTTTCATTTGATCCCCTGGCTCTACCGTTACAGTATCCAGGAGCTGCTTGATAGCAAAGAAAATGCTGTAGTGGATCAATATAAGGAGATCTATCCTCTTTTAGGTTTTTCCGGTAAGAGGCATACACCGATTCTTGGAACGAGCTGAGCAGCAATAGAGGAGATGCTGTTTGAAGAGATGGTTTTCGATCTCAGCACTCTTATTTAAGCCGTTGCAGTGATGTTGAATTATTTTTAGTGTGAGATCGACTTTATGTTGGTTAGCCAGACCGATACAAGGATTTAGTAATATATAAAAGCATACATTTTGCAGTGTGGAATAGAGCGGAGTCCTCTCCTAAAATCTCCATCATCTTTTGGAAACCATTCCATCATTCGAAGTAGATGTTGGAAATGTTTTTGCCACATTTTTCCTTTTGTACTTTCTGTCATTGTTTCATAAGAGAAACACAGCTGATATAAAACAAACATTTAAAAAACGTTTCCATAACGCCAATATTCTATTTTGTTGCTATCTATTTTTTCTTCAGAACTGTTTCTAATGTGGCTTCTTTCCCATAGGCTATTGAATTATAGTTGCGTTGCTGATTTTACCATTCTTTACCTCTAACGCTGTTTTCTTTATCTGATGTCATCCAACCAATGAATCAATTTGCTTAATTATTTTTTTCTTTTAAAGTTATTTTGTGTTATGACTTCTTTTAGAGTTATCATTTGTCAGTTGAGATAATCTGCAAGTTAAAATAGGTTTTTTTAAAAACTTAAAAATTTTATGTATACCAGCTTTTTTTACTTATATTTCCTAAAAATTCATCATTTTATCTAACTATTTTGACTTGCTAGTTTACTAATAATTTTTATCAGTTTATTTGATAAATTTCTATTTTTAGATTGATCTCTGAAGAACATGTTGAAAATGTAGATTTGGAAAATTTTCCAGAAGAAATAGTAAGAGGAAGGATCTATTTGATTATATCATCTAATGTTTTGCTAAACGTTTTCAACAGATAAAATTGGGAATAGGAGAGCACCCTCTTCAGTATACTTATACTTTATGGTTCTCTAAAAGAACTCCTGGAAAAATGTCTTCTCAGTCCTACGATCAAAATTTAAAAAAAATTGGTTCTTTCGTTTCGGTTATATTTTTGGATGTTAAAATTATTTTTGCTTTTTTTTACTAAATTTTTAAACTTTTGGAAATGAAAACAGCACTGCATAAATTACATTTAACATATTTTATAATTAAAGGTGGAACAGTTTTGGAGGTATTACAGTCACATGATTAGACCTGGCGATTTAACCGGTCATAGCGTCTATCACCTTTTTAAAGAGGGCATCAGGCCAATGTGGGAAGTTTGTAGATAAACATTGTTATAATCAATTTCAAGAATATTTTTATGGTTCTAGTCAAGTTTTAGTTGTTTTTTTATTGTACAATTGTTTTGTGTTATCAAAAAAATTAAATGATTTATTTAGAATTTATTTTTTCAAAACAATATTTTTATTCACTATCATAATATAAATGGGCTTCAATCTAATTATTTTTAATCCGTAAATTGATTGTTAAAGTTGTTAAGAGTCTCTTTTTTGTGGCTTTCTAAGATACTTTCCCTTAAAATTTTTAGTATCTATGGCTATTTTAATTGTTTTTAACATTTTAACACCAACAAATTCTAGAATTTTGTCTGTCCATTTCTTAGCAAGTTTACAACAATTTTTCAAACCTGTCCTTCCAATTCATACTATTTATTAAATTTGTCATTCGTTGTTTCTAATTTTTTTACCGTTTTATAGATTTTTTCTTTTCCAATCTGATCTCTTATGATGTCGTTTATCAAACTTTGTCTTAAATTGATTTCTATTTAATGAAATTAGATAAAAATAGATATTTGGAATGAAAATGTAAGCATTACTCTTGTGTAGTGATGGGTTGGTATTAGTGTCAATGAATATATGCATTATGATAAATTCTAGTACCATTATTATGAAACGATACAAATGTATGTTTGAAAATATGGAAATAAAATAAAATATGGAAAAAGAATGAATATTATACTATAGTACTATAATACAAATCGTACATCAAATCTCGTTATATAATAAAAAACAGTAACCACCTTAGAGAGAACAAACGTCCTGTACCGTTTTACGAGTCCTGTGCCACTGTGTTGTGATTTTGTGAAAAGCTACATTGGTCACACGCGTACTACTTTCTCGCGTAGATTGCTTAATATCAAGTTGCTATGTGAAAACATGAGGGATTTGAAAGTTAGTGATGACCTAGCAAAAGAGCAACGTGTACAATTAAGGAAATTAATTTTTGAAGCTAAAGAAAAAAATCTAATAATCGAAATTTTTGTGCCGTACCAAGTGAGAAGACCAGTCGGGCAGTTGGTGGATCGTAAAATATCAAAAATTTGCATCATAACCAATATCTGTTTAGAAACATGCAATTTTGCCAGTAATTGACAGCTTAGGAAAGTGAGGCACTTTTTCTTCTTCCTAAATTTTTGTCGGGCTATTAAATAAACTTCTCAAGTGTTTGTCGCAAAAAAATTTTTTTCAGTCACTTCTGTCCTATTTCGGAAAAACAATTATGGTTAGAGAGAGGTTGATAAGTTAAAATTACTGATCAAATTTTAACAGGAAATAAATTTTATCTAATTAATTTTTACCAGTTCTCAATCATTTATCGTTGATCCCAAATGGTTATATGTGTGTGTTACTGATGCTATATAAATTAAAATGTTTTACGGTTGCTATTGAATGTGTTTTTCAATTCAACAAGTTATTATTAATGACATTAAAATTAACAATTCTTTGATGTTGTAAAAATTATTCAATAATCAATTTTATGTATAATATTTTTTATTGCAAAATGCAAAATTATATAGTGTTCAAGATGTTGAAATTTAGTTATATATTTTATTATATTTTTATTCTTTTCTAATATACTTTATCTTGTCAGGACAATGCTAATTGCAATGGAGGAAAATGGATGATACGATTAAAAAAAGGATTGGCTTCCAGATGTTGGGAGAATTTAATATTAGCTATGTTGGGAGAGCAATTTGTTGTAGGTGACGAATTATGCGGGGCAGTGATTTCTATTAGGTTCCAAGTAAGTATATCTTATTTTTTTATTTTGTATTTTTGTGCATTGTGTATTTTTGTATTCTTATGCTGCTCATATCGGGGTATACGTCTTCTGGAATTCCCCTGAAAGTTATTGAAAAAGTCATTGAGAGAAGACTGTTGTACGTTTCAATATGCGGCTTCATGGCAGGGAGATCCACCATAGATCATTCGTTAACTACTGGGAAAATACTTGGCAAAGCAAAAGCGACCGTTCCATGTCTTTGTGGACTTGGAAAATGCTTTTGACAGTGTTTCGTGAGGCAACCAGGTGGAGTCTACCTAGACAGCTTGTTCTCGATTATCTGGTTCGGCTGGTTATGGCAACGTACACTAACACAAAAACTCTGGTCAGCACAACAGCCGGTAACACGAATGAATTTGACATTAACGTCGGCGTCCATCAAGGATCAATACTAAGCCCCCTGCTCTTCATCACGATGATGGAAGAAATTACCAAACCGATACGCTCAGAGAACATATGGAATGTGATATATGCTGATAATATGCTGGTCCCGGAACAAGACGCAGCCAGAAAGTTTTAGGTCTGGAATAACCAGCTCGCCGAACACAGGCTAAAGGTAAACTTTGACAAAACAAAAACCTGTGGTATTGCCCTAATTGATAATTTTCAATTGTGATGCACGACGTTAAATTTTTCTCAATGATTTTCTCGACAGTTTTCAGGGAGTGTTCTAACAAACGTATACCCCGATATGATGAACAGTTCAATGGATCACCTTTGCCTTTGTATAGCGGAACTGTCGTGCTATAGTTCTATTCAGTCGGCATTGAGCAATTTCTCCAGATTTCACGGCAAAGTTGTAGCAACGTTTGGATACCTGCAATACCAGCCAGATGCTTTGATGTCATTTGTGAGTCCAGAGGGCCCTGCTGCCTTTCCATTCTTCATAGCTTTCTGAGCTTCTGTAAGCTCTTCTACAGTGATGTCTGGAATCGGACCTTCGATGGGTGGAGCGTCAAAGTTGACATTGATGGGATTTGTTTCATTTTACAGACGGTTGAAGTATTCATTCCACTGTAGCTTGATCTCATCTCGTTCAAGAACCATCTCATTTCTGTCGTTTTTGATACATGAGGCACCAACTATGTCTTTTTTCGTACGCTTAGCTAGTGCTATACGATACAGAGATTTCATTTGTTCACCTTTGCTTTTAGTGAGCCACTCCCTGCACTTATCTGTCCGAGCCAGTGCGACTTGACGTCTTGCATAGTTGTTTTTCTCACGGAAAATTTGGTGGTCATCAAAAGACTTTGATTTTGTCATTGCTTTTATGCAGCTTTTTTTTCAGCTCTTGCATTTTGTACACTGTCATTCCACCACCAAGTGTCCCGTTCATGCTGACGTTTTGTACTAGTTTATGTTGGGCGACACATGATTCGCCAGTTATAACTTTGAGATTTTTGAATAGCCTTCGGTTCGGTGTTGTTTCTTGACAGCGAAAAAAAGCAATTTGCGTGGCTGATGGTCCACTTTTGTAAGTCATGAGATGTTCCAACCTCTTTTAAAACTTGTGTTCAGTAAACTCAATGATGCAGTTGCCATCTTCATTCCGTTTTCCATAGCCAAAACCGCCATGCACGTTGTCAAAACCATCTATTTTCTTTTCAACCAGGAGATCGCCTCCAATCAGGATTGTTTTAGATTTTGGTATTGTTGAGATTGTGTCAGAGAACGCAGCCCAGAAGTTATTTTTCATCTCTTCTGATTCGCCTTTCTGTGGTGCGTATGCAGAAATAATAGTCATTGTTTACTTTTCTAGGCGAGTCTTAATCCACACGAGACGTGAGTTAATCCTTTTAATATCCAGTACCTCTTTGACAAAAATTCAAACACCATTTTGGCCATCTTTTGGCCATTCCAGAATAGTTTATATTTTTCTTTGTTTGAGTTGATATGACAGACACCTTTCGATTTCCGCTTCTTTTACGCTTGTGCATTTCTGCGATTTCCATGCTGCGGCCAGTCAGTAATCCAACAATGAGCGGAAACCCATCCTGACGACAGCCACCAGTTATAAGCGCCTAGCTTTTTGCTCAAAAGCACGCGTGGATGCAATTTTTGTGTCATGCCCAGAATATAATGTGTTATGAAGAGGATAATGTGTTATGAAGAGGAGATAAATTAGATAAGTGTTTAAAAAACTATTTTTCTCGGTGAAAAATTTAAAATCTAAAAATGCTATTAACTTTTTAAATGAAATTCATTAAAAAAAAAGTGAGGTCTATCTAATACAAAACAAACTAATTCTCATCGTGGCTGTAGCGTAACTTTTATCTAATTATTAAACAACAACACAACACACGTTTAGACGACATTTTCCCCGAGATCGGGGGTTGCCTATGATGAAACCGAAATACCCCTCCACGCCATTCACATCTGTCACTCGCCTCAGTATCACGCAACACCGCTTTCACTCCGTCCTTCTCCACCTGCTTTCTCCATCCCAAGCACCCTCTTCACTACCTTCATTCTTTCACAATCTCTCACATCTCCTTTGCCCTTATACAACGGCACCAACACGCTGTGGTATACTTTCATCATCAAACATACTGTTAGCAATTCTTATCATAACTTCAATTCCTATCACCCCACTCGCCTTTATATGTTCCGCCGCCACTTCCGAAACCCCTGTGGCCTTACCTAGTTTCATTTCTCTAACTGCTTTCTCTACTTCCTCCATCGTCACATTCTCTATGGATTCGTGTGTGACCGCGGATTCCACATCTCCATGCCACTCATTTTCTTCATTCATCAACCTTTCCATATGGGCTTTCCACACATGAGCTTTTTCCTCCTTCTTCTATGCACAACTTGCCAGATCTATCCCAAACATATCCATTCCATATAACATCTTTCCTATCCCTCATTGACTGCTCTGCTACTTTGAACATTTTCCTCAAACTCACATCAAATTCCATTTCCCTCATTAACCTATCTGATGCTTTCGTCATTGCAGTTGCCACTGCCCGTTTTGCAACCTTCTTAGTCTTCCTGTTCTCAAACTCCGTTTCCCCCGTCATGTCCCTTCTCCACACCTCTTCTTCTTGACCTCCAAAACCTTTCTTATATCTTCATCCCATCACCACGTCTCACTTTTCTTTTGTCCATCCACATTCTTTATCTGCCGTAGTCAACACACAGTCCCTATATCTCTCCCAAACATCTCCATCCTTACCACTCTCCCAACTTTCAACCACCTTCACTTCAAATGCCTTCCTCACTTCTGCATTCTGTAACTTCCATGTCTTTCTCTTTGCCACAAACTTAACTTCTTCCTCCTCCCAATTTCTTTTGATGCCACATCCATCACAACCATACTATGCTGCAACATGACCTATGCTCCCCTGACCTATATGTAATTAATCGTGCTGGTTCCCTTGTAAACCAGGTAATCTCCACCACCATATGTGCATCCGCCAACTCCAACACTCTACGCCCTCCCTCATTCCGTATACCATATCCCCATCCCCCATGTACACCTTCATATCCGTCTGCATCCGCCCCCACATGACCATTCAAATCACTCAACAACATCACAAACTCATCCAACCCCGTTTGCCCAATCTTGTCAGAAACATCATCATAAAACCTATCCTTCCCTCTTCCTTCCTACCTTGTTGCAGAGCATATCCTGATATTACCCTCACTATTACCTTTCCAAACACCATCACCACCACAATTACACCATTGCTTTTCCGCCTCACTTCTAACACCTTCTCTTACCATCACACTAACTCCTCCCGTACCATCATCCCCCTTCCATCACATCTTATACCTTCCACCTTTAGCCCCCACAAACCTTGTACCCTCTTCATTCCATCTTCCATCCTTGACAAGAAACTAACTTTTTCAAATCATATTATATCTATTATTAAAGCGTGCAATTATCATATCAAGGAAATACGTCATATCAGACAGTTTTTAACAGTCGATCTGGCTGGGAATCTAGCACGTTGTTTGATATTGATATCTCAGAAGCAGTAAACACGTCTCCAGAGGCTGATGAATCGGGCTGCCAGTTGTACTAAGTATTATTGATACACCACCAAATCAACTAATATCTGCAACATCTAATTTGAAAAACCTTCATTGGCTTCCATTTCATCACCGTATCCAGTATGAAATCGCCATCATCGTTTTCAAGTTGTTGTCATCACATTCACCGTTGTGTCTTGATTGTCTTCTTCATCTAAATAAGAATAATCAATATCTTCGACATATTTCTTCAACCAACATTGGGAAAAGAGCATTTCGTCATGCTGCTGCAAGTGTTTGGAATTCTTTGCCTCCGAATATTAGAAATTCTGGCTTCCTCTGTGAATTTAAATCTAATTTAAAAACTTATTATTTTAGTCTTGCTCTGAACTGACAATAGTTTTTATATGTTGCTTCTAATTAACTTTTTTTTATAATATGATTATTGCAATATTCACCCAGCAATTTTTAATGCTATTGAACTCATTTTACCATGATTACCATGGTCAATTGTTATTATTAATTATTAGTTTTATTATTGTCATTACTATTGAACTCATACTACCATAGTCAATTATTAATTTCTTGGTTCCTTTGATGATCCAACATCATTCACAATGCAGTGAGGGTCAGTTTAATGTCATAACCAGAACATTTTTATCTAATTATTAAACAACATCCAATCTTTTTCAACATCTCCTTTCGCATCATTTTTAATATATCAAATTTTTTAATAAACATTTTTTATACTCATATTTAAAACCAATACAGTGGTTAGTTGGAAGCACAATTTATGGTATGAGAATTTACGTTGTTATGGATGAAATTATAAGCAGTAACAATCGCAGTCCGATTTTTTCACGTTACATATTTTAAAAAATTTATTTCTAATTGAAAAATGTTTAAAAGCTGAAAATTTGGCAAAAACACTTTTACGGCGTAAGTGCAAAAAATGTCCAAAAATTGCATGCATCAACGTCATGGTCATGCAAGCAAGTTGATGGTCTCCCTCTTTGAAATAAACCCCAAAACCGAAATGGCTACACCGAATGGTTGCAACGGTAATGTGCAAATAATTGATGATACCGGATCAACGAAATCAATTTTAAAGGCTGATTTGTTACCCAACCCGAAATATAGTAGCACTATTTTGAGGTACATGTATTGAGACTAATGAAGCGAAATGTTTTTGATTGACAGCCAATAAGGATATTGAAATACCAAAACCATCCGAAAGAGCCATGATCAGTTGTTAATCTGTGAATCTGGTAAAATATCTGGAAGGGAGAAAAGCAAAATTATGGAAGGCTAGTTGATAAAGATAGCCAGGTGATTAAGAAACCTTGTGACAAACCATAAGTGTTTTCAATCTGCACAAATGGAAAGGACATTAAATCAACTGGGATAAACCTAGAATATGTTTCAAATTTTAAGTCATTTATAAAGGAACTCTTGAAAAACAATTATCCTAGATACCAATGCTAACAGTTTTGTCACACATCGTGTCGATGGAGAGAAAAGTTTGCCAGAAGAAGTGGTTAGTAATAGTCAACCCAATAACACTATTCAACAATTTTTTTAGAACTGATTATATAATGAGGTGTTTGCTAAAATTTAAGAATCCTGAATGGCAAGTGGTAATGCTTTAGCTGGAATTACTGCAAATGTAAACAAATGTGACCAAATGTAAATATATTTATAAACATAACATAATCTCAACAATATCGATTTACTTTTTTTGCACTTTTTTATAGTCTTTATTATTATTGCAGCTCTTCATACGCAAAACCACTTAGATCGTTACATATATATTATCTGTATATCTTTGTTATGTTCTTCTTATCTTCAACCATCTTCGCCACAAAGACTGTTTATCCTTTTCACACGACGTACACATGTATTTATGTGTATGCGCAAGAACCGCATCATATGCGCTGAGTATATTACTTCTTCATTACTTATTTGACCTTCTTTAACCTGGTAAATATTCCTACTGACTAAAAAAAGTGCAAACGAAATAGGCTTCAAATAATCAAAATTACGTCTGCAATATCTCGTCAAATTAGCAGTGAAGTTAACATACTATTGGACTCAGTGGGATTAGTAGCGCTTAGGAAGGGGTTTGTAGCAACGAAAATGGAAGTCAACAGATAGATCCACCAACACATCGACAACTATTGATATGCAAAGTAAAACTTTAATTTCTTAGAAAATCCGGGATGTACCGTCTCTGAGTGAACATGACTAAATAGAAAATGCGGGAAATAAAAAATTTATATTAGCTATCTAAAATTCGTTATTATATTTTTGTACCAACTACAGTGAGCTATGTTAAATGAATAACATCGATAGTTTCTCTCACCACAAATTTTTTTCAAGGAATGTTGATATATTTTTTCAGAAAATAATGTTAAATTTTATTTAATGCAAGATTATTTTGAAAATAAAAATTAAATTAAAGGAAGATATTCTGTCATTATGGAACAAGACTGCCACAGATCAAACCACTATAGCTCGCATTCGAGATACTCTTAAAAGAGTTCTAAACCTTCCCACTAGTGCTGTTATGGAATATAAAACTCACAACGAAAGCATAAAGTAATTTTTGTTATATTGTTATTACATTTTGATATTTATAATTTATAATTTCAAGTTTGGTGTTTCATCTATCCAGTCTTCATAAGTATAAGTAAAAAAATTTGCAATTAGAAAGAAATTTTCAACCATGTTATTATCGGCAAGAGTTTTTGCCAGAATCGAGATTTTTTGATTTACTTAATTAGATTCTACCTACATGCTACATACATTCTACTTACTCACATTACTTTTTTAACTCTTTTGATTTACCTTTTTTTTTCAATTTTTTTACACTTCTTCATTGCTTCGTTGGATCAGCATGATGATCAATTCCTCAATTATTTTAACTACTGAAATCGCTATTCCTGCTACGGGAACGTTGGTAGACTAACCTAACAAATTAAACTAATTAACCAGATGTATTTTTTGTCTTATGTCTTAACTATTGTGTAAAAAATATCACGGTGTTATTCTTTTCTGGCCTTCAATCTTTTTGCACTCTAATTAACCTGATACATTCTGTGTTTTTGTCACAAATTTTAGAAGTAAACCGCAGCTTTACACCTTTTCAACTTTTTCATTTAATCGTTAACATACACCTTTTCAATTTTTTCATTTAATCGTTTGATTCACTGTTCCTTGATATATGTTATTCTATTGTTACTCCGCTTTGGTTGGTTCTATTTTGTTAATTTTAGTTAAAATTTGTATTCAAGTGAAGGATTGTAAAAACCACAATTGTTCTTAGTTATATTTGTATTATTAGTTTGCCTGATGTTATCAACGAATTTTTTTCATTTCATTTTCATTATTAATGAAAATTTTCGACAGCCTTATAAATCTTGGCTACGGCCTTATCCAATGTCCTGGTTATGACATTAAACTGACCCTCACTGCCTTGTGAGTGATGTTAGATCATCAAAGGCTAGGCCCACCGCTTATAACTGTGGTTGCGTAAGGAAGGGCGTCCTGCGTAAAAATTAGCCAAAAAAAACTTATCAATCAATCAATCTTCGTTTTGCGTCCAGATACCAGGTTTCCCGAGGTAGGACGTTGTTTTCTTTGCCATCAACTTTTTGCGCCAAATTAGACGATCAGTTGTATCCATTTCATTTAAATTTAGAACTTTCATGTCTTGCTCGATTGTTTGCGACCAGGACTTCCTTGGACGGCCTTTGGGACGTGTGCCAGGTACTTGAACATCTGCAAGAGAAGTTATGGCACTGTTTCCACTTCGTTTGACATGACCAAACCACCGCAGACGGTGTTGCCGGCATTCGTCCTTTATATCATCTAAACAAGCACGACGCAGGATTTCGGTAGATTTGATGTGTTCCTTCAGACTAATTCGTTGCATCCATCGGAGCATTTTCATGTCGGTTCGTTGTTGTTCCAGTTTCGTTGTCATTGTTTCTGCACCATATAACAACACCGGACGTATCACAGATTTATAAAGTCTTGATCGTAGTGGTAGTGGGATGTCACGCCGCATCAATATAGAGGCAAGGAGATGCCATTTATTCCAGGCTGCACGTATGCGTGCTCGAACGGCAGCTTCAGCTGTTCCAGTACAATCGAGAACATCTGCTAGATATTGAAACGATGTGACTTTCTCTATTTTAATGGCTTCAAAAACAGTGCTATTTCGAATTTGTTGTTGTGGATTGATGCAAGCAGGACAAACAAAATTGGACACTTTAGATAAAATACCAATTATTTTTGAACAACGTTTGTGACACCACTGGTTACACTGCTGATTGAATTGTTACCTACACCAGCTTTACAAACTGAACAGGGCCATCGTCCAGTAGCTGTGGATTGGATGGGTTCACCAGTGTTCATTGCTTGGTTTTGCTGATGTTGACTTTGAATCCATGATCGGCAAGTCTGGTGTTCCAATTTTCAAACATCTGTGCTGCATTCTGCTCAGACGTGGCTGTTAAAACGATATCATCAGCATATACTAGATTTCAAATGTCACCAGTGCATATAGGTTTTGTGATTTCTTCCATCACAGTTATAAATAACAGTGGACTAAGAATCGAGCCTTGGTGAACTCCAAGGCCGATGTCAAATGCATCTGTGTTTCCAACCGTTGTGCTGACAAGAGTTTTAGTATTCGTATACATTTCCATCACAAGTCGAAAAAGATATTCTGGAATGATTTTTCGACGTAGACTCCACCTGATTGCTTCACGGGGAACTCGATCAAATGCTTTTTCAAGGTCTACAAAAATGTGTGATAGTTGTTGATGTTTTGCGAGGTACTTCTCTTGCAGTTGCCGAAGGATGTGAATTGCATCAATTGTTGATTTCCCCGCTAGAAAACCAAATTGATAATTTCCGATTGGGATGCACGACGTTAATCTTCTCTCAATGATTTTTTCGACAATTTTCAGGGAGTGTTCTAACAGACGTATACCCCGATATGATCATCAGTTCAATGGATCACTTTTGCCTTTGTATAGTGGGACTGTCATGCTATAGTTCCATTCAGTCGGCATTGAGCAATTTCTCCATATTTCACGGCAAAGTTGTAGTAACGTTTGGATACCTGCAGTACCAGATGCTTTGATAATGTCATTTGTGAGTATAGAAGGCCCTGCTGCCTTTCCATCCTTCATAGCTTTCAGAGTATGTACTCCAATCTGTACTGGCTTGCGATTGGTTGTCTTACTGTGTGGCGACAATTTGTTGAAATTTTTCTCGATAAATATTGCTTTTCAGCTTCCACGTTTTGATTTTCCGAGGCATTTGTTTAGACTTATGTTTCGATAGTTTTGACAACCCGGTCTGCCACAAGGAGTCTATGTTGGGCGACACATGATTCGCCAGGTATAACTTTGACGTTTTTGAACAGCCTTCGGTGTGGTTGCTTGACAGCGAAGAAATCAGTTTGCGTGGCTGATGGTCCACTTTTGTATGTTATTAGATGTTCCAACCTCTTTCTAAAATATGTGTTCAGTAAACAAAACCCGTGACTTTCAGCAAACTCAAGGATGCGTTTGCCATCTTCATTCCGTTTTCCATAGCCAAAACCGCCTTGTACATTGTCAAAACCATCTGTTTTCTCTCCAACGTGGCCATTGAGATCGCCTCCAATCAGGATTTTTTCAGATTTTGGTATTGTTGAGATGGTGTCAGAGAATGCAGTCCAAAAGTCATTTTTCATTTCTTCTAATTCGACTCTGTTGTGCGTATGCAGAAAAAATATTCATTGTTTGCGAAGCTTAATCCACATGAGACGTGAATTAATCCTTTTAATATCCAGTACTTCTTGGGCTAGCGGTTCTCTGACAAAAATTCCAACGCCATTTTTGGCCATCTTTTGACCATTCCAGAATAGTTTATATTTTTCTTTGTCTGAGTTGACATGACAGACACCATTCGATTTTCATCGGGTTTCCTGAAGGCAGCAGTCAATCTTTCTACGCTCGAGCATTTCTGCGATTTCCATGCTGCGGCCAGTCATGATCCAACATTGAGCGTTCCAAGTCTAAGTACCATAGAGGGGCCATTCTGAATTTTTCTGCAACATCCCTCCGCTATTACATATTTCCCAGGGATTCTTGGCACTCCTTGACCACTTAAGGCCTGCTGAGGACTATGGGCCGTTGTTTTTCTTTTTGATGGCATAGGAATAATTTGGGGAAAAAAAACTTATGAGATGACAGAAGTGACAATGGCCCTCAGTATCCTGCAGAAGAGGGTGCAAAGAATTCCCGGAGACCCAGTCCATGGGGTTGCGGTGCACGGCCCTGTGTTTGGTCTGGCTACTGGCACCCCACTCTATAGTGTTGCGGTGCAATGCACTATGGATGGACCAAGGGGGTTGGAGGTTTGGTACCTGAAATGTAGGCACGCTGACAGGAAGAAATTTGGAAGTGGTGGAGGAGTTGCAGAGGAGAATGGTTGACGTGGCTGCATTACAGGAAATCAGATAGAAGGTAGAGGGTACAAGGTTTGTGGGGGCTAAAGGTGGAAGGACTAAGTTGTGGTGGAAAGGGAATGATGGTACGGGAGGAGTTTGTGTGATGGTAAGAGAAGGTGTTAGAAGTGAGGCGGAAAAGCAATGGTGTAATTGTGGTGGTGATGGTGTTTGGAAAGGTAATAGTGGGGGTAATATCAGGATATGCTCCGCAACAAAGTAGGAAGGAATAGGAGAAGGATAAGTTTTATGATGATGTTTCTGACGAGATTGGGCAAACGGGGTTGGATGAGTTTATGGTGTTGTTGGTTGATTTGAATGGTCATGTAGGGGCGGATGCAGACGGATATGAAGGTGTACATGGGGGATGAGGTTATGGTATACGGAATGAGGAAGGGCGTAGAGTGTTGGAGTTGGCGGATGCACATAGCATGGTGGTGAGGAATACCTGGTTTACAAGGGAACCATCACGATTAATTACATACAGGTCAGGGGAGAATATTTCTATAGGTCAATCAATCAATCTTTGTTTTGCGTCCAGAGACCTGGTTCCCCGAGGTAGGACGTTGTTTTCTTTGCAATCAACTTTTTGCGCCAATTTAGACGATCAGTTGTATCTATTTCATTTAAATTTAGAGGTTTCATGTCTTGCTCGATTATTTGCGACCAGGACTTTTTTGGACAGCTTTTGGGACGTGTGCCGGGTACTTCAACATCTGCAAGAGAAGTTATGGCACTGTTTTTACTTCGTCTAACACCGGACGTATCACAGATTTATAAAGTCTTGATCGTAGTGGTAGTGGGATGTCACGCCGCATCAATATAGAGGCAAGGATATGCCATTTATTCCAGGCTGCACGTATGCGTGCTCAAACGGCTGCTTTAGCTGTTTCAGTACAATCCAGAAAATCATCTAGATATTGAAACAATGTGACTTTCTCTACTTTAATGGCTTCAAAAACATTGCTATTTCGAGTTTGTTGTTGTGGATTGATGCAAGCAGGACAAACAAAATTGGACACTTTAAATAAAGTACCAATTATTTTTGAACAACGTTTGTGACACCACTGGTTACACTGCTGATTGAATTGTTACCT